CAGAGAGATACTCATTTGCCTACTCTGGAGGAAAGACAAGTGATTCGACGGTGTTCGAACCCGAGATCTCTCGATTTTGAGTTCGACCCCTACCAGCTGAGCAACAAAACAAATAAACTAGCCCGAGATATATGGCAAATTTAGAAATCTGAAAAAAAGATCGCTGCCAGGTAAAGAATCTAAATTTAAGAAAATCACTTAATTCATACCGACTTAGGTTTAAACCTTAGCAACGATCGACATGAGGTGCAAAGGGCAATCAGGTGATGTTTTCAACAGCAATGACATAATGCTTCAAAAATTTTAACTGGCCAGAAAACCTTTGATCTTCATGGATAAAAAATGGTAGACCTTCCCTATACCGTATCCAGTTGAAGATACTTTTATCATAGTTTTTACATCAGGCAGTAAAACAAAAAAAACGATATAGTAAATAATCACAAGAGAGACGTCTGTACAGATGTAAGAAAATGTTTATAAAACATTTGGAGATTAGATACCTGGAAGAAATGATGCAGGTAGCTGTATCACTACAGTGTACAGTCAGTGGCGTGATAATCAAAAAATATCAAATAGAACGATATCGTTGCGTAACATGATTAATGAGCATAAAAATGTTGTTTACCGGGCATGATGCTGCTACCGGGTTCGTTTTCAGGCAAAATTAACTCTCCAAGCCCGGATCGAGGCCCTGAACCAAGGAATCGGATGTCGTTAGCGATCTTCATCAAACTACATGACAGAACATTAAAGACGCCATGCACTTCGACCATAGCGTCGTGTGCTGCCAACGCTTCGAACTTGTTCCTTGCTGAGGTGAATGGCAACTTCGTCAGTTGCGCTATTTGTTCAGCGACTTTCTCGGCAAAGCCTGAAATCATGGCACCTGTAGAATAGCAATCGATCCACGTATGTGTAACATGTCACAGAGATGCCAAAGAAACATTACCGAAAAATTTTTCTAACTTCCGCCAATTTACTTGAGCAAGGAACTCATTACTCGGTGAATACTGTACATTCAATCACTTATTCGCTTCAGCACCCGATTTTCTTCTCGGACAAAGGAGCCAGCTGCGTCAGATCTTTTCGAAGTGGTGGTAATGGTCCTCGGTCAAAGGGGAAAGTGATCTGAATTCTGAAGCTTAACGAACAAGTAACATAACATCATAATATGATAGAGCCATGTAATCAGAGGCCTACTCTGTGCTACCTTTCCTGCCAAGAAAGCCTACGTCCACCTCCAGCAAGGTAGACGAAATTCAACTAAATTCAAGAAATAGTTTACGTAAGATGTGTGGTAGGCGAAAAAGATATAACTGACGAGTGTTATTTTCTCTCAGTCCTCTGCCGTCATCATCCATAAAAAATCACCCAGATGTTCCGTCAGTCTGAATTCGCACAAATGATCGCAAATTACCTTTCTTTGCAAGTAGAATTATTAGCATCTTAATGCCGCAAAAGCAGATGCATGCCTGTTCGCGTATATACCTACAAAGCAAGGGGTGGTGCAGGGTATCAGCGGAGTTATCTGTTATGTGACATTATCTGGCGTACGAACAGTTAAAAATATTTGTGGCAGCATACAAGGAGTGGTAGCTCCTTAAACGTCGTTCGTTATCAGCGCGAGGCAGCTAACGGACAAGAAGATACGAGCTGTGTTTGGCATTGCAGGTGCTCAAATACCACAGAGCGAGGGCTTGTCTAAATAGACCCGAGGCAACTAGCAGCAAGACGGCGGTGCAGAGTGCTGTGATATCTGGAACTGAACCGGATATGTTATGTAACATACACATAAACATACACTTAATCACTGCACTGTAGCCTCATGGTGCGAAAATGGATTCAACACTAC